AGGTCGACTACATGTGGTTAGTGTTATTTTTGGAGTTATGGCCCTTTATGAAATTTTGGATGAATACTGTCATCGAAATATCACTAGCAATTATAAATGGATAAACTTCAAATTTTATCAAAATGTTTTATGACACAAAAGTTCCCAAAAACCCAAATATGTAAAATATGTAACTAACCAAACAAACAAAAACCCTAAAAGCACGTAAACTTGATCAAGAAGACGCACCTGTATGTAAACAATACCATTCGGAACTGCTTGTTTCATAGCTTTACTGAGTTTTTTTATAAAGATTATTTTAAAAAAAATTAATGAACATTAAATTATAATACGCACAATCGGGATATTTCGACACTTTTCGTGTTACGAGATGTACACGTAGCCTGATTCCTCCATTCTGATCTGCCTTCTTCCCTGATGATTATAAGCTTGTAATACACAGCCCATACACACCGAAAATGAGATCACCGAGGAACTGGGTCACTTCGTAATTCAAGATGGCGTCACGCGTGCAGACAATAAGAGCATGGTTGAATGAGTCTGATTAAAAACTATACGTTTCTTATTTACGGAAAGTGACGAATGTATCCGAACCTCACACCGAAAGTCACATCAACACATATGCCAAACACCCGTCTATTGTAACTCAGGACCTCTCTGCATTGTAAATATTTCTCGCAGAGAGCAATGCGTACCCCAACAACAAAGTATATTCTACAGTACATTATATACAGATCCTGTGTACAGTATAACACCTGTCTACTGTAACACTGGTCCTGTATACTGTATAACACCTGTCTATTGTCTACTGTAACACTGATCCTGTGTACAGTATAACACCCGTCTACTATAACACTGGTCCTGTGTACAGTATAACACCTGTCTATTGTCTACTGTAACACTGATCCTGTGTACAGTATAACACCTGTCTACTATAACACTGGTCCTGTGTACAGTATAACACCTGTCTACTGTAACACTGATCCTGTGTACAGTATAACACCTGTCTACTGTAACACTGATCCTGTGTACAGTATAACACCTGTCTACTATAACACTGGTCCTGTGCACAGTATAACACCTGTCTACTATAACACTGATCCTGTGTACAGTATAACACCTGTCTACTATAACACTGGTCCTGTGTACATTATAACACCTGTATCTATACAACACTGTCTACAGTATAACACCTGTCTACTATAACACTGTCCTGTACATTATAACACCTGTCTACTGTTACACTGATCCTATGTACAGTATAACACCTGTCTATTGTCTACTGTAACACTGATCCTGTGTACAGTATAACACCTGTCTACTATAACACTGGTCCTGTGTACAGTATAACACCTGTCTACTGTAACACTGATCCTGTGTACAGTATAACACCTGTCTATTGTCTACTGTAACACTGATCCTGTGTACAGTATAACACCTGTCTACTATAACACTGGTCCTGTGTACAGTATAACACCTGTCTACTGTAACACTGATCCTGTGTACAGTATAACACCTGTCTATTGTCTACTGTAACACTGATTCTGTGTAACAGTATAACACCTGTCTACTATAACACTGGTCCTGTTTACATTATAACACCTGTCTACTGTTACACTGATCCTATGTACAGTATAACACCTGTCTATTGTCTACTGTAACACTGATCCTGTGTACAGTATAACACCTGTCTACTGTAACACTGATCCTGTGTACAGTATAACACCTGTCTACTGTAACACTGATCCTGTGTACAGTATAACACCTGTCTACTATAACACTGATCCTGTGTACAGTATAACACCTGTCTACTGTAACACTGATCCTGTGTACAGTATAACACCTGTCTACTGTAACACTGGTCCTGTGTACAGTATAACACCTGTCTACTGTAACACTGATCCTGTGTACAGTATAACACCTGTCTACTATAACACTGATCCTGTGTACAGTATAACACCTGTCTACTATAACACTGGTCCTGTGTACAGTATAACACCTGTCTATTGTCTACTGTAACACTGATCCTGTGTACAGTATAACACCTGTCTACTGTAACACTGGTCCTGTGTACAGTATAACACCTGTCTACTGTAACACTGGTCCTGTGTACAGTATAACACCTGTCTACTGTAACACTGATCCTGTGTACAGTATAACACCTGTCTACTGTAACACTGATCCTGTGTACAGTATAACACCTGTCTACTGTAACACTGATCCTGTGTACAGTATAACACCTGTCTACTATACCACTGGTCCTGTGTACAGTATAACACCTGTCTACTGTAACACTGATCCTGTGTACAGTATAACACCTGTCTACTGTAACACTGGTCCTGTGTACAGTATAACACCTGTCTACTGTAACACTGATCCTGTGTACAGTATAACACCTGTCTACTGTAACACTGGTCCTGTGTACAGTATAACACCTGTCTACTGTAACACTGGTCCTGTGTACAGCATAACACCTGTCTACTGTAACACTGGTCCTGTGTACAGTATAACACCTGTCTACTGTAACACTGGTCCTGTGTACAGTATAACACCTGTCTACTATAACACTGGTCCTGTGTACAGTATAACACCTGTCTATTGTCTACCGTAACACTGATCCTGTGTACATTATAACACCTGTCTACTGTAACACTGATCCTGTGTACAGTATAACACCTGTCTACTATAACACTGATCCTGTGTACATTATAACACCTGTCTACTATAACACTGGTCCTGTGTACAGTATAACACCTGTCTACTGTAACACTGGTCCTGTGTACAGTATAACACCTGTCTACTGTAACACTGGTCCTGTGTACAGTATAACACCTGTCTACTGTAACACTGATCCTGTGTACAGTATAACACCTGTCTACTATAACACTGGTCCTGTGTACAGTATAACACCTGTCTATTGTCTACTGTAACACTGATCCTGTGTACAGTATAACACCTGTCTACTGTAACACTGGTCCTGTGTACATTATAACACCTGTCTACTGTAACACTGATCCTGTGTACAGTATAACACCTGTCTACTGTAACACTGATCCTGTGTACAGTATAACACCTGTCTACTATAACACTGGTCCTGTGTACAGTATAACACCTGTCTACTGTAACACTGATCCTGTGTACAGTATAACACCTGTCTATTGTCTACTGTAACACTGATCCTGTGTACAGTATAACACCTGTCTACTATAACACTGGTCCTGTGTACATTATAACACCTGTCTACTGTAACACTGATCCTGTGTACAGTATAACACCTGTCTACTGTAACACTGATCCTGTGTACAGTATAACACCTGTCTACTGTAACACTGGTCCTGTGTACAGTATAACACCTGTCTACTGTAACACTGATCCTGTGTACAGTATAACACCTGTCTACTGTAACACTGGTCCTGTGTACAGTATAACACCTGTCTATTGTCTACTGTAACACTGATCCTGTGTACAGTATAACACCTGTCTACTGTTAACCTGATCCTATGAACAGTATAACACCTGTCTATTGTCTACTGTAACACTGATCCTGTGTACAGTATAACACCTGTCTACTGTAACACTGGTCCTGTGTACAGTATAACACCTGTCTACTGTAACACTGATCCTGTGTACAGTATAACACCTGTCTACTATAACACTGGTCCTGTGTACAGTATAACACCTGTCTACTGTAACACTGGTCCTGTGTACAGTATAACACCTGTCTACTTTAACACTGATCCTATGTACAGTATAACACCTGTCTATTGTCTACTGTAACACTGATCCTGTGTACAGTATAACACCTGTCTACTATAACACTGGTCCTGTGTACAGTATAACACCTGTCTACTGTAACACTGGTCCTGTGTACAGTATAACACCTGTCTATTGTCTACTGTAACACTGATCCTGTGTACAGTATAACACCTGTCTACTGTAACACTGGTCCTGTTTACATTATAACACCTGTCTACTGTTACACTGATCCTATGTACAGTATAACACCTGTCTATTGTCTACTGTAACACTGATCCTGTGTACAGTATAACACCTGTCTACTGTAACACTGGTCATGTGTACAGTATAACACCTGTCTACTGTAACACTGATCCTGTGTACAGTATAACACCTGTCTACTATAACACTGGTCCTGTGTACAGTATAACACCTGTCTACTGTAACACTGGTCCTGTGTACAGTATAACACCTGTCTACTTTAACACTGATCCTATGTACAGTATAACACCTGTCTATTGTAACACTGATCCTGTGTACAGTATAACACCTGTCTACTGTAACACTGATCCTGTGTACATTATAACACCTGTCTACTATAACACTGATCCTGTGTACAGTATAACACCTGTCTACTATAACACTGATCCTGTGTACAGTATAACACCTGTCTACTATAACACTGGTCCTGTGTACAGTATAACACCTGTCTAAACACTGATCCTGTGTACAGTATAACACCTGTCTACTGTAACACTGATCCTGTGTACAGTATAACACCTGTCTACTGTAACACTGATCCTGTGTACAGTATAACACCTGTCTACTGTAACACTGATCCTGTGTACAGTATAACACCTGTCTACTGTAACACTGACTGATCCTGTGTACAGTATAACACCTGTCTACTCTAACACTGGTCCTGTGTACAGTATAACACCTGTCTACTGTAACACTGGTCCTGTGTACAGTATAACACCTGTCTACTGTAACACTGATCCTGTGTACAGTATAACACCTGTCTACTGTAACACTGATCCTGTGTACAGTATAACACCTGTCTACTATAACACTGGTCCTGTGTACAGTATAACACCTGTCTACTGTAACACTGGTCCTGTGTACAGCCTAACACCTGTCTACTGTAACACTGATCCTGTGTACAGCCTAACACCTGTCTACTGTAACACTGATCCTGTGTACAACTTCAGATGAAAAGAAACAAAAACCCATTATGTGAAGTTTATTGTTTTATTGATGATAGTTTTACTTATCAATAAATTAAATGATAGATGACATTTAAGGAATTACAATTATTTTTTGGAAACATCTGGGACAAATAATATATGGAATTACAGCACAAAGTCCATTCATACGTTAAGGATGAAACAATCTCTCCATTACAACACTTTCCTCATGATCAAAGTCTAAAAACGTACTCAGTGACAGCAAGTTTTTGATTTCGTTTTCATTTGTCATATGATGTGGAATATTTGCAGATCTTTAGTGAAATGATCTTATCAGTATTCAATCTCATTAATTCTTATTTGTTTTGAAAATTAAATGTTTATAAAGCCCAGGTTTACCTGTTGAGTGAATCATACACACACCAGTCTTATACATACCCTGCAACATGTACAACACACATGTACCTATATACACTGATACAACACATCTCCTTTGGGACAAACAATATTTGGAAGCACTAAAACAAGAGCTATATATATATCACTACACTCCATCAATATTAGATACACCACTTAATGTTCTTCCTCTCCAGGTCTCAGCTGACCTTGACAGTCAACAAACACAGCTGACCTTGACAGTCAACACAAACAGCTGACCTAGATAGTGATCAATATTACAAGCTGACTTTGAAAGTCAATATTCACAGCTGACCTTGACTGTCAACAAACACACCTGACCTTGATTGTCAACAAACACAGCTGACCTTGACTGTCAAAAAACACAGCTGACCTTGGGAGTCAACATTCACAGCTGACCTTGACTGTAAACAAACACAGCTGACCTTGGGAGTCAACATTCTAAGCTGACCTTGACTGTAAACAAACACAGCTGACCTTGGGAGTCAACATTCACAGCTGACCTTGACTGTAAACAAACACAGCTGACCTTGGGAGTCAACAGTCTGATCTTACTGGACAGTCAATAATTTGTTGATGTGTTGTTGACCTTGGCACAGTAATAAAAACAATGTCAGTATCCTTGGCCAATAAATGTGAACATGAAGGTTTGACTGACAATGATAGCTACACACCTGTGGTGCACACAAACAAAAATCATGCTAACATGTTTTTAAAGCATTCCTTATACATTTGATACACCACTGTAAGACTCTAGGGTACATTCCTTTTCAGAGTTACAAATAAATACTTTCTCTGTTGATTTGAGCATTTGTTGACTATATACATCCCATGAAATTTCAAAATTTAAATTATAAATACTCTTTAGCAAATTAATATTTTTCACATTGCCAAAGAAAATAAAACGACTTTGTAGAGGTGATATTTGAAAGACTCTTTTGTGTCATGTGTTAGCATGTTTTCGACTTTGGGACTACAGCCAAATATACATATACAATTATCACTAATGGTTTCAACATTTATATGAACTAGACATTGATACAAATTTGGCATCAAGAAAGTGGCTTGTGGGAATATCACAATAACATAATATTAACTACATACAAACAGAAAGTAGCTTTCTAACTGGAAATGCTGACTGGTACACATGTATTCCTTTACATTTACTAGACAACACACAGGTAACTTAAAGCGTAAATACTTCTTTATAAATAAATACAAAAAATTCACACATACTTAAAGTAATAGGAATTTCTGAACAAAAGTTTACATACACTGTACAAATTCTCAGACGAATCAGGCTTTCATGGAAATGTCCTAATATTACATAATAGGGCTTTTCTGCCTGACTGTTATGTAGAACGAAGTCTCTCGTGTGGAAATGTTCCGTTGGATGTCTCACATCTTCACATGTTTCCTTGTTTGAAATTTTGATAATATCTGACATTTGGGTCAAGTTTTCAGAAGCAAAGTATTACCACAAAATGAGAAGATGTTCTACATAACAATTCTGGAAACAAATTTAATGTGCTACCTGCAGTTACACTGCAATCGAAAATGAGATCATGACAAAAACACCATGGCAGAACCATCATCTCAGAGCACCAAACATTGCGTTATTCTTGCGTGTATGAGCAACAGATCACATGACCAATCTAAATATAGACTAGAGATTGCATTATCATTTTACCTGTTACAGCTAGGAGGGGTTTGTAATGTCATATGCTATATAATGCTACCCCATTGACAGCAATTAGCTTTGACTGCAATTTATTGTACGCAATTAATATATTTAAGCACCGAAACAATCACATGCATCTCGTGGTAACATTGGTAACATGGAAACCAAAGGACTGCTACAATAATTACCAAATATTCTAGCTGGCAAAAAAAGTTGCATGCATTGTAAATAAGTGAATAATAAATGTATGGATTTTCACACTGGAGTGTGTACACAGTGTTGAGATATAATGACAAGTATTTATGTAAATATCTGGGCTGTTCACAACCCCACGTTATAGATTTTGACAAATGTCTGGTCTGCCTTGGTCAAAATGTCCTGAATCCCCTCTGGTCCTGTAACTATGACTACTGCCTCCACAGCCATTACTTGCATTGAAGCTACCCAGGTGATCAATTCCATCAGATGAGGTGACGATTCCAAACTTGGATAGATTTAAATACTGATCATCTCCACTGTCATACGAAAAGTCAAGAATTTCGGCTGAAGAATTGGATCCTATACTACAAGCACTAAGCCTCTTTCTGGCATCAGTATTTCCATGTGACTTCAAAATGCCACGTCTTGGCACCACGGTGACAGTTTGCTCACTGACACTGTCTGTTTGTGTGTGTGAAGCACTGCTATGTACAAAGTCTGATGCAGGGTTGCGACAGATCTGGGAAGTGGAGGCGGTACTGTCACCTCCACGAAGAACCTGATCAATGTCAGACAGGTTGTAGGTCATGGCAGTGTTCTCCCTTTTTTCAGATTCGACGGGACTTTTTACACCATTCTCATTTAGAACACATCCACTATCTCCTCCACTAAATTTACCCTTCCTTTTGAGAATTCCCCTTGCTGGTTTCTTCTCCGAATCAAACACTTTTTTAACTTCCTCAGAAGAGTTACTTGCCCCTTCTGTTACAGAACAGAAAACCTCTGGTCCTTGTTCTGGTAAAGTCATAGAGTCATTGTAAGCACAATGGGTGTCCTGTGCCTCGACTGATGGCAGAGAGCCCAGACATTTCGTCTCCCGACAGGCAGTGTCACAGGTGTCCTCACTCGATCGACTGTTGTTGCTGCTTGTACTGCCATTTGATGGCTTTTTAAGGATGCTCTTCAGTGGCTTAGCCGATTTCATATCCAGTTCGCCCTCACTGTCTGACGACAAGCTCTGGTTGGGGCGAAGAGTGACTGGTTTGAGGATATCTGGGTTTGGGTATGGCCCGCCACATGGGGTCTTGTTGTGATGGAGGTTAACCCACCAATGATTCAGGATGTCCTTTAATCCTGCCCGTTTAGCTGGATTAACAGTCAACAGGTGTCGAATAAGGCCAGCACATTCTGTGATAACAGAATTAAATCATAAACAAATATAGATATACTTGGTTTTTTTAACAAGAAATGCAGAAATGCTCCTATCCTTCACCGATTAATGATTCTAAAACTCTTGCTGAGATGTACTTTGATATACAATATTAAAGTCTTGGCACCTTAACATGACTGTATACAAGGTTTAAAGTCTTGGCATCTTAACATGACTGTAGTTAACAACAAGTGTATCTACTTCCTATTTATCTCAATCAATATGAAAAACTGAAGTTAAAACAACAAACAATATTCATTATATATATTTTTCATGGACAAATCAAGATTCATTATGGTTTGGAATACAAAAAAGATATTTTAGATTGATATCACAGTATCACTTAACTTACCTGCAGAGTTCGTAGGTTCATAATAATCTCCATTGGATATCTGTTTTCTCAAAACTTTGAAGTCAGAACTGTCAAATGGCATGGCTCCATACACCAAGGTGTAGAGTACAACTCCAAGACTCCAACAGTCCACCTGTAATGAGTATACAGAATACCTGTATAAAGTATAGAATACCTGTATAAAGTATATAGAATACCTGTACAAAGTATAGAATACCTGTACAAAGTATAGAATACCTGTACAAAGTATATAGAATACCTGTAAAAAGTATACAGACTACCTGTACAAAGTATACAGAATACCTGTACAAAGTATAGAATACCTGTATAAAGTATATAGAATACCTGTATAAAGTATATAGAATACCTGTAAAAAGTATACAGACTACCTGTACAAAGTATACAGAATACCTGTACAAAGTATAGAATACCTGTATAAAGTATATATAGAATACCTGTAGAAAGTATATAGAATACCTGTACAAAGTATATAGAATACCTGTACAAAGTAAACAGAATACCTGTGCAAAGTATAGAATACCTGTACAAAGTATATAGAATACCTGTACAAAGTATACAATACCTGTACAAAGTATAGAATACCTGTACAAAGTATATAGAATACCTGTACAAAGTATATAGAATACCTGTACAAAGTATAGAATACTATATAGAATACCTGTAAAAGTATACAGAATACCTGTACAAAGTATATACCTGTAAAAGTATATAGAATACCTGTACAAAGTATAGAATACCTGTACAAAGTATATAGAATACCTGTACAAAGTATACAGAATACCTGTACAAAGTATAGAATACCTGTACAAAGTATATAGAATACCTGTACAAAGTATACAGAATACCTGTACAAAGTATATAGAATACCTGTACAAAGTATAGAATAAAACTCCCACGGTCAGTGACACACAATTATGACTAAACATATTTCTTAAGATTTTTTTATTCTATAATATCTTTTTCCTTTTCTTATGTTTTCCATTAATTTTTCTGTTTTTGTTTTCACATTTTAGCTACAAACTATGAAACAAGAATTGTCTACCTTGCCTGAGGTTAACATATTTTGTAGACCAACATAAATCTAGTTTAGAGACTTGACTGATGCTGTAATTACCGACATTTATAGTGATGTATAAATGATTTCACTGATTGACTGTAGGCCTTGTATATATACCGTACTTATTCAGAAATAATGTCTCATTATGATCCCATCAGAGCAATTACTAATAGCTACCATCCTGTATTACTCTATAAGACAAGATGTGATACTCCCCTCCACCTAAATTTTGATTTCATTTTCCTGCAATAAGCCCTACCTCGTCTTTTAGTCATTTAGGAAATATGTTGGACCCCTTGTGCTTCTTACAGGATGAAATACGGTAGCGATATATGATGGTGATGGTCCATTTTATATACCTGGTATGCTATACAATAAACCAGGTCAGGTAAAACAAAGATAATGTTGTATTTAATCAACTATGTAATGTTTCTGTCTGAGGTGTAACAACACTGTCTACCGGCATCTGGGAGTTATCAAAATTCTCTGATGATGGAAGATTGATTGTATCTACAGCAAATAAATTTTAAACCACAATGGCGTCTCTTTTCTTTTATTGTGACAAAAATATCTATTTAAGGAGATATTGTGGCTCCAAGATAAAATCAAATTTTCTGAAGTAAACTGCTTGACAAAGATTCACTGTGGCAAGGAAAATCCATGTGATCAGATTTCCTAATGAGGTTTCAGAAAGAGATCAAATGTTATCGTGCTGAAAATTGATTGTCTCACCAAATTCCTTTCCAAATCAAATCAAAGAAATACGGAGGGTCCTTTGGGAGCTGGTGGAATTATCAGAAAAGGACATCTCAAAAATGCTGGTAGATATCATTACATAATATTAAAGGATTTCAATGAGCATATATTGTCTATAATGATATAAAGAGGATATTCACTTAGTTCCCACTTAATATCACATAATTTCACAAGGGTCCATATGTGAATATCAATAATTTTCTTGAGTGTGAACCACGGGAAAAAAATTAGGTATATTCTGTCATTCTCAATTATCTAGGGATGTGTTATGCAGTACAAGTTACAAGAGTTTTACATACACAACATCCTGTTACGATTCAATAATACCTATTTTCTGGCCGAATGACACATGCGTCAGGCCAAGTATTTGAAGAGGCTGTGGCCTTCCTGGTAACTGTACAATGTACCTAGTAGAACGAATGGTAATGCCTGATAAAAGTTTGATTTCACGAGACCTGAACTACAAATAGGGCAAGGAGCTAACTACAGTGATATCAGTGTTGAGCGCTTTGTACAAGCCATGAGGTGTTTACTTACTGGTACTTATAGGAAATCTACATAAACTATCACAGTTGTACTCTTAAATCTAATCCAGTAATTCATGGATGTTTTAACAAAATAGTCCAATTCTGGATCTAAAATTAGTTCGATCATTTTAATGGACGAAATTTTGAATTATTGTTTGCATCAGACAAGTATAAGCAGATTATGAAAACTTTCTAAATATATATATTCAAGACTTTTAGACCGGATCTTCTCTACATAAGACTATTAGACTGTCTGGAAGGTCGTTGTTTGGGTATTGTAAACATGTACTTTTGTTACCTCCAGGTGTAATATTTATCCTACCTAATATCTTATATCAGAAGTATCAGGATATTGGGACAAGTCGTAGATCCAGCAGTTTCCTCTTTATATATCAAATTTATTTTACAAAGACATAAAAGTTGTCAACATATGTAAACCAATAGAGCATCAAATCTTCTCTTCACAGTTCACTGGTAAACTATGTTATTATAACCAAAAAATCTGACGAGTCAAATAAACCAATCTATGTTATTATAAACAAAAATCTGACGAGTCAAATAAACCAATCTATGTTATTATAAACAAAAATCTGACGAGTCAAATAAACCAATCTATGTTATTATAAACAAAAATCTGACGAGTCAAATAAACCAATCTATGTTATTATAAACAAAAATCTGACGAGTCAAATAAACCAATCTACGTTATTATAAACAAAAATCTGACGAGTCAAATAAACCAATCTATGTTATTATAAACAAAAATCTGACGAGTCAAATAAACCAATCTACGTTATTATAAACAAAAATCTGACGAGTCAAATAAACCAATCTACGTTATTATAAACAAAAATCTGACGAGTCAAATAAACCAATCTATGTTATTATAAACAAAAATCTGACGAGTCAAATAAACCAATCTATGTTATTATAAACCAATCTATGTTATTATAAACAAAAATCTGACGAGTCAAATAAACCAATCTATGTTATTATAAACAAAAATCTGACGAGTCAAATAAACCAATCTATGTTATTATAAACAAAAATCTGACGAGTCAAATAAACCAATCTATGTTATTATAAACAAAAATCTAACGAGTCAAATAAACCAATCTATGTTATTATAAACAAAAATCTGACGAGTCAAATAAACCAATCTATGTTATTATAAACAAAAATCTGACGAGTCAAATAAACCAATCTATGTTATTATAAACAAAAATCTGACGAGTCAAATAAACCAATCTATGTTATTATAAACGAAAATCTGACGAGTCAAATAAACCAATCTATGTTATTATAAACAAAAATCTGACGAGTCAAATAAACCAATCTATGTTATTATAAACGAAAATCTGACGAGTCAAATAAACCAATCTATGTTATTATAAACAAAAATCTAACGAGTCAAATAAACCGATAAATTTGAAAATGAAAAAGAATTTAATTTTTAAATGTTATTTCAAATAGGTAGAATAATGAATTTTGCTAACAGCCCTATAAAAGGGTTTGTTACCCTTATAGGTTCTCAACTCCCTTAGGTCCCCTCCAGCTGTGTAAAGCCTTTTCTACATTAATCACTACCAACACCCCTTTCCCATATTCCTTCATAAATCAGTTATCAACCCATTTCAGTCGTGTCAACCTGTCCTACATCACACTGTATTATAGAGACAAGACTCCCATGTTTTGCTGTCATCCGTTCCTTTTTAACTATGGCTATTTATGATGAAGAGATACCACCATCAATTTGAAATTGCATTTTCAACTGAAGTGTCTTTCTGCAAATTGATAAATCATTTTCTGACAACAAAATGCAATCTCTTTTTCGAGTTTAAAAAATGTGAACACTAATGCAGGCATCAGAGCCAATCGTTTGTCAATACACAAGAGAAACAATATGAATTTAAAATTCAATACTCAGAAAGCTGTTTCATTGACATCAGAACCAAACCTGACACTACAGCGTATCTGACAGATATTCAACATCAATAAAATGAATTCCAAGAAAAATGAACATTATTCTTTTTATCGTTCAATGCTATCAGATTATGTAACATCCTTGAAGTCAATTCAGACACTCGTATGATAAAGAGAGGACGGGTCTGAGCAGTGTAGGTAAACCTTGTACTACAGACACCATGATTACACCTCTTACTGGGTTCTGATTGCTTTCAGTGTGACAAACCTCGCCACTTTCCTTTGAAATAAATAAAAAAATTTCCAAATTCTTGTTTTTTAACTTTTTCTATTTCTCATTTGATCATTGCACTAAATTCTGAGGTCAAGTAATTCACAATGTTAACATTGTTACCCGCAGAGATCAAATTATCGTGTACATTTTAATCTACCAGCGAGACATGTATGAGGGCTTTCTGGGAGGTAAGCCCCCATTTAGTAGTTTGACATGATGTCAGAAGAATTTCATTTCGCTGATGAAAGATACCGCTTATATCCACCTACTGGAATTGATGGAGGAGAAGGGGGTTGTGTTACCTGTCCATTTACCTGGCCACAAGCCCCTATGATAAGATTGTATTATGAACACTTAGAAACTACACAAGCCACACTTTAAACATTTGAAAACATTTGTCAAAGAATAAAACTTATCTTCATTACTCAGGTTTTATAGAAACTGGGCCTGTCCATATTTAAATAACTTTCAAATTAAGATGTATTACATTAGGGATTGTTGTATCAACTACACCTCTACATACATGTAATATAATACATCCAGTATTTAAAGCTGTGGTTTATCCTATTACATTGTTTCCTCTTGGTCTGAGAAGACACAAAAAACTCATGTTTTGATACCTTTGTTTTCAAAAGAGATTGTTTTTGTTTCAAGGATATTTTTCACCTGAGCAAGGTTGGATACCATAGAATGACAGTACTTTATAATCCACTTTTACAATGGTTTAAGTTTTACCACAGAAGCAACTTGCTCCACTGTACATTCTGTCACATCCTCCCAAAGATTAAAGACATTTTAAGATGGTAGAAGCGAGTAAACTCGGAATCCAGAATTCTTACATCAGTCTGCAGGAGTACCATGGGGTACTTTTAAATCTACATTTGTCTCCTTAAAACTAGCATTGATATCAAGTTACCTTGGAAACAGTTACCATCTAATATCAATACACTTCATTAACTTCAAGAAAAAATAGTGTAAATAAAATGTGTGTTATGCTAGATCAGACATGACAATGGGTTTCATTTAAACTCCCTCCACCTGAAGTGCTACACTCATCCAAACAGATCATTGTTAGTTTACGGGGATCATTGGGTCAGAATACTTAACATGTTTAGAGAGATCAGATAAACAGTCTATATTGGAGATAAGTACATAGTTGGCCTTATAAGCTACATGTCTTGTTCAGCCTAGATGTGCCGATTCTATCTCCCAAATCATGTGAGTACTTGTTCTCAAGGTCAACCCAAGGTCATCCCAAGGCCATCCTTCACAACTTTAAGGCATCAATACTTAAGCATGAAGAAACTCCATAATCATCTTCCTAGATAATTTGTTTCCATTGGGAATCTGATTCACCAGCCTTCCCAGACTCAATCAAGCTTTTTCCGCAAATAATTACAACATTAAATCTAATTAACTCAATTGCTTATTTCAACAGCATACATATTAGAATTTGTAATTCAATTTCCAAACCAGAGTAAATGGATAGAAAAAAGCCAAGGATTAAATATTTCTCTATCAGAAGCTACAAAACAAGAGAAGTAGCATACCTCAGGGCCGTGATAGGGGTTGCCGTTGACAATTTCAGGAGAGGCATATAGAGGACTGCCACAGTAAGTTGATAGCAGTTTGTTTTCACTGAAGTAATTGGACAAGCCGAAGTCTGCAATCTGGAAATCAAACAGACATAATTCACTTTCAAAAATACATAAATTACTATCTTTTGACAAGTTAACTTCAGAACAGCAAAACAGTGGTGCCAATCCAAACAGACTTTCAGTGAAATTATTTCAACAAAAGCTGTCATTACTGGAAAAATGAATACCTGGCATGATGTTTACATAAAACTTGTCAAATGCTTTCAGCATATTACATTTTTTATTTCTGGAGTATTACATTTTCATCTTTTTTTAGATGCTTGCACTTAAAAGCATGGATTAAATTTGTACACAAGAGTACTTTGTGGTAATGCAGTTCAATTTTTATACATTACATATACTGATCCATTCAGTAAATATGGCAGTCATGTACACAATGTGTTTAAACAACTTCATTTGTGAACAAAAATGCACATTCATCCAGTCATTTGCATATCACATACAAGTTTTAATTCAAATCAAAATGTCGTATTAGCATGCACAGAATTTTTAACAAAATTTTTTTTCTTTCCCAAGATTTAGGCTGTTTTCACAAACCAAAAGATCTCACTGTAAATAGAATTCTACAGAACTATTGTATAAAGCTTCAGCTTCAGATAACAATAAGATATAAATGTTGTAGTTGAGAAATTCACAGAAGGAGCAGCATTTTAATTTGACATTTGTAGCACATATCATGTTTCTCTCATTTGTCACAGATCTGTAAATCAATGAAACAGAAGTTCAGCATGACAGACACCTCCATCATACATATCACACAACTTTAATGTGGATACAACCTGGAATATATTACAATACAGACATGCATCACAGGTGACATTTGTCTGCAGGCCAGTGATGTGTATGATCCCAGTCGGTCCATACAGTTCATCAAACAGAAATGTGGGCAACAACACGTATTACCACATAATACAAGATGTAAACTTGCACTCAATAATAAATGTAATGTAGTAAAGAAAACAAACTGACGGAAGGACGTAGAACATCATAGTGTGTCGATCTAGTCTAAATAGGAACTAAGTCTGTTGGAGGGTTCATGACATATCTTGTATAGTAGTTTTGTGCTACCAACACACACAGAGATGTACACACAGACGCACACACAGACGCACACAGACACACAGACACTCACATAGACACACACAGATGCACACATAGACACACACATAGATGCACACACAGATGTACACACCAACACACATATAGACACACACAGACACACATATAGACACACACAGAAACACACACAGACACACATATAGACACACACGGAAACACACACAGACACATACATAGATGAACACACAGACACATACACAGATACACACACACACACAGATGCACACAGAGTTAAAGTGACATAACCTTCCTTTTCTAAGTGGTTATAGGTTGTATGTGATAGTTGGGGTGAGAGGGGTGGGGGTAGGGGATGTTTGGTGTAATACTATAATACACTCACCTTGACATTGCCCTCCTGGTCTAACACTATATTCTCAAGCTTCAGATCTCTGTGGACTATTCCATTCTGGGAAAAGAAAATGCATCTTAATAAAAGTGGGATTTCTTTGTTAAAACATAACCAACAGAATTTTGGTTTGTTTATAATTTAAAGTTCTGTGATATGTTTAATATGCCAGTCCAATTTGTCAATTACTGAATGTTAACTGAATCAAATAAAGAACTTTCTGAAATGACTAAAACATTGAAACTAATGTACATACTTGATGACAACAATGAATGGCAGAAACAATTTGTCTGAATATACGACGAGCATCGGCTTCAGAGAGTCGACTGCGATTGCTTATGTAATCATAAAGTTCACCGCCAGTGGCACAGTCCATCACCAGGATAATTCGGTCCTTGTTTTCAAACACTGAAAGAAACAAAATCATCCATTAGCACAAGTGCCACCTTCTTAAGGACAAAATTAAATTTGCAAAAACACAGGTTCAGGTTCCTGTCATATCAAGTCATAACAATCCCTGATCTCATTCCCCATCATTGTGAGTGTCTACATTTCCCATCATTGTGAGTGTCTACATTTCCCATCATTCTGAGTGTCTATATTTCCCATCATTCTGAGTGTCTACATTTCCCATCATTCTGAGTGTCTACATTTCCCATCATTCTGAGTGTCTACATTTAGATATGTCCTAATTTAGTCTATTATATACCATATGGACAGTTTTACTCGGAATGCTACAGATCACTAACCATATGCATTGGTACTAGAGAAGGTACAGACACAGACAGGACCATTTTCTTAATTAACTATCAGCTACAGATAAGCAAGATATTAAAGAAACTTTTGATAAGAAGAATTGTATTGAAGTATTGTACATTAAATATTTCAGAACCTGTCAAGAAAAGTTGTTTACATAAATCTGGCCGAATTTCTCCTTGACTTATTTTATGTTTCTCATCTCCAGTGATTAAACATAATACAGGTGTTAAGTTACATCTCCGTATCACCAGACAACTAAATCCTCGCGACAGTCGATTAGTATGGATAGCAGGTAAAAATACAGCCTCAAGAAATCGTATGATTTATTGGTGAGACATTTGTAATTTTCAGTAGGCGTGTCAGCAGACAAGATAACCTGTTGTGTAGTCCATGCAATTTTTATACACTAACATTAGATATTATGAATGGAGTAGCCTGAGATGAAAATAAAGAATACATTGCAGGAGGGTGCAGAAGGTCAGTCAGTCAGAAGTATCTCTGGTGTATCACGTTCTCAGCTACATTTTTCTTGTTGAGAGAAATTGCTTTAGACATCAGTAAATTTTGGCAACTGTAAAAATTGAAAACTTCCTGGCTAGAATTTTTTTTTTCCGAAGAATTTCGAAGTCTGATCTGTGTTGTAAATGAGAAGTTCTGTGAAAGTATCAAGGTAATGACGTTCCTACAGTGAGATATCCTTAGAGTATAGTGCTGTTAATTACAGTCCAAGATGTCTGCAACTTTGAGATATAAGATTCAACCTTACTTAGGTGATAATTCCGTCATCTTGAATATCTGACTGACATTCTAGCTTTTTTAAAAACCAAGTTATCTAAATGTCAGTGTTGAGATAAGCCATGTTTTCTCCTGTGTTTACATCTTCTAGACGACTGTTGACAAGGATTTAAGTTTTAATGACCAATACCATACATGCTACATCTACACAGGGGGACATATCTGTACAGAAAGTCTCCATAGAGTTTACTTATGTACATTTCACATGAAATTTACATACAGTTTTTTTATAAGGATTGTCAACATGAGTAAGATGATATATTCACCAACATTTTATGGACCAATACACACCAGTATACTTTCTATTAAACAAAAAACTTGTTTTCCAAAATTTCCAAAACTTTCGGGACAACCTGAGCCCTTTCTGTACCTTCTGAACAGCCTGAGCCCTTGTTGTACTTTCGAGACAGCTTGAGCCCTTTCTGTACCTTTGGGGCAGCCTGAGCCCTTTCTGTACCTTCGGGACAACACGAGCCCTTTCTGTACATTCAAGACAGCCTTAGCCCTTTTTGTACCTTCGGAACAGCCTGAGCCCTTTCTGTACCTTCGGGACAGCCTGAGCCCTTTCTGTACCAAACCCCAGAATCTAACTTAAAGGTAAAATATGTGTACCATGAAGCTATTGTAACACGTACATCAACACTGGAACGAATCCAACAACAAACACTACCCTATTTATGATGGACTGGGTCCCACATCAACAATGATAAAGGAGGGCCTGCATAAATTTCCAGTCAGCTGATCACCGAGCACCAAATAACTTGGCATTGGTGATGAAAAAAGACAAGATGACCTAGGACACCTAGGTTTTGGTAGTCAGGTAGTCCCGGATACATCCAACACAAACCCACACCAAACGATTGTATTTACATAAGAATGTATGGTATTATAATAACGTACCAGATTAACCCTGGTGATATACAGTTATACTCTATATATCATCATAGGTCTGTCTAAAACACTTCATCAAAAACAACACACTCACCTCAACAATTTCAGTTTAAGTGACTTACACATGAGTTTTAACAATCAGACAATTGTACAAATTTTGTTAAATAGCAGATTTATCGTGATGATATTACCTACTTTAATTAACTACATTTAAGTTCTGGAACAATTTTAGAAATTCTGTTACTGTTATTAATTTAACTAAATGTGAATTCCTTTCAGAAAAGTGATTAAACTTGGGATTCCAACGGACCTGATCGGTAGCTACTTGTATAGAATATTTGTCCACAAACGTGACCTGTAGGGTACATTGGGAATCAGTACTTGAGATTTTGTACCAAATTTTTAATGCTTACGGAACCTGACATAACCGAGATACCCTTAACATAATGAACAAACTTCAGTACACAAGTCAAACACGTTTTATTTACAAAGCTCCTACAGAATATATAAAATGAGAGAACACTTCTGACAGTGAATTACAACATAATGCTGATCACAGGAAGTCTTGTCCAACACATGTACCTGAAGTGTGTACCTGAAGCACATTCTCCAGGTGAGAACTGCGCCATGATGACTACCTAGATAGCTATGTGAATCAATACCTGATAAAGCCAGACAATTGCTATCTATGACTAATAACTACCGTATGTTGTCCAGGTTTATGATCCGCCCCAATCAATTAATGATACAGCACATCACTGTCCTCTTGAAATTTAAGTTGAGACAACTATTAACTTTCCAACAAATGTATTATGTAAGTGAGTTAATCTGATTATTGTCTTCGCTGTAGTTGATGCCCACTATAACAGTCAGCTTGTTTACTAATGACAGTGTTATATAAATGACTTCATATCATCACACAAGGAGTTGATTTTAATTGTGCTAATGACATCTTAACATTCCCACACATAATAAACATCATGAATGAGGCGACCTGACAGTGTGGCAGTGCTGGAGAGTCTGGAGATTTTAATCCCAGCGACCTGACAGTGTGGCAGTGCTGGAGAGTCTGGAGATTTTAATCCCAGCAACCTGACAGTGTGACAGTGCTGGAGAGTGTGGAGATTTTAATCCAGATGACCTGACAGTGTGGCAGTGCTGGAGAGTGTGGAGATTTTAATCCAGATGACCTGACAGTGTGACAGTGCTGGAGAGTGTGGAGATTTTAATCCCAGCGACCTGACAGTGTGGCAGTCCTGGAGAGTCCGGAGATTTTAATCCCAGCGACCTGACAGTGTGGCAGTGCTGGGGAGTGTGGAGATTTTAATCCCAGCAACCTGACAGTGTGGCAGTGCTGGAGAGTCTGTCTGGAGATTTTAATCCCAGCAACCTGACAGTGTGGCAGTGCTGGAGAGTGCAGAGATTTTAATCCAGATGACCTGACAGTGTGGCAGTGCTGGAGAGTGTGGAGATTTTAATCCCAGCGACCTGACAGTGTGGCAGTGCTGGAGAGTGTGGAGATTTTAATCCAGATGACCTGACAGTGTGGCAGTGCTGGAGAGTCTGGAGATTTTAATCCCAGAGACCTGACAGTGTGACAGTGCTGGAGAGTGCAGAGATTTTAATCCCAGCGACCTGACAGTGTGACAGTGCTGGAGAGTCCGGAGATTTTAATCCCAGCGATCTGACAGTGTGGCAGTGCTGGAGAGTCCGGAGATTTTAATCCCAGCGCCCTGACAGTGTGGCAGTGCTGGAGAGTGTGGAGATTTTAATCCAGATGACCTGACAGTGTGACAGTGCTGGGGAGTACGGAGATTTTAATCCAGATGACCTGACAGTGTGACAGTGCTGGAGAGTGTGAAGATTTTAATCCAGATGACCTGACAGTGTGGCAGTGCTGGAGAGTGTGGAGATTTTAATCCCAGCGACCTGACAGTGTTGCAGTGCTGGAGAGTGCGGAGATTTTAATCCAGATGACCTGACAGTGTGACAGTGCTGGAGAGTGTGGAGATTTTAATCCAGATGACCTGACAGTGTGACAGTGCAGAAGAGTCTGGAGATTTTAATCCCAGCGACCTGACAGTGTGGCAGTGCTTGAGAGTGTGGAGATTTTAATCCAGATGACCCGACAGTGTGGCAGTGCTGGAGAGTCCGAAGATTTTAATCCAGATGACCTGACAGTGTGGCAGTGCTGGAGAGTCCGGAGATTTTAATCCCAGCGACCTGACAGTGTGACAGTGCTGGGGAGTGTGGAGATTTTAATCCAGATGACCTGACAGTGTGACAGTGCTGGAGAGTGTGGAGATTTTAATCCAGATGACCTGACAGTGTGGCAGTGCTGGAGAGTGTGGAGATTTTAATCCAGATGACCTGACAGTGTGGCAGTGCTGGAGAGTGTGGAGATTTTAATCCCAGCGACCTGACAGTGTGGCAGTGCTGGGGAGTGTGGAGATTTTAATCCAGATGACCTGACAGTGTGGCAGTGCTGGAGAGTGTGGAAATTTTAATCCAGATGACCTGACAGTGTGGCAGTGCTGGAGAGTGTGGAAATTTTAATCCAGATGACCTGACAGTGTGGCAGTGCTGGAGAGTGTGGAAATTTTAATCCAGATGACCTGACAGTGTGGCAGTGCTGGGGAGTGTGAAGATTTTAATCCAGATGACCTGACAGTGTGGCAGTGCTGGAGAGTGTGGAGATTTTAATCCCAGCGACCTAACAGTGTGGCAGTGCTGGGGAGTGTGGAGATTTTAATCCAGATGACCTGACAGTGTGGCAGTGCTGGAGAGTGTGGAGATTTTAATCCCAGCGACCTAACAGTGTGGCAGTGCTGGGGAGTGTGGAGATTTTAATCCAGATGACCTGACAGTGTGGCAGTGCTGGAGAGTCTGGAGATTTTAATCCCAGCGACCTGACAGTGTGGCAGTGCTGGAGAGTCTGGAGATTTTAATCCCAGCGACCTGAC